GAAATATTCCAGCTAATTTCCACGTTTTTGATTAATGAAGATCTTATTGTTCACCTTACAATTATTTGATAAGCGTCTACTTTCTTAAAAACATGATTTATTTTTTCTTGTATCAACAGGATCTTTTGATTACCATGAATGACTATCTTTTTTTAATCTTTACAATATGCTAAATTTAGAAAAAAGGTAGAACATCATTATATATTAACAGTTTATTGTGCGAGCTGTAATAAATACTGACTGAATAAACAAAACATGTTTTCCTTACACATAATTTAATGAAACATATTTCTAAGATATAACAAACCAGGAACCTATTGGGTTACTTAATAAAAAATGTTTCATATGTGGAAAATCTATGATTTTTAATGAACAGAGATGTAAAACTATCATTAAAAGACAGGCTATGTTGCACTATGTCAGACTTTTAGCCTCTTCGTTTAAATGACACAAACGCTGACTGTGATATAGCTCAAATTTTATTGTTATCCAGTATTTAGTGCTCTGAGAGACTTTTTTCTACTAGCAGCGCTTTTAAAAAAGCGTTTTTTTTTCAAGCACAGCAGAGAAGTTATGCTGCTTCGTCATGCAGCATAGCTAAGTAGGCGGCATTTAGGTGATAACTTAAAGGGACAGTGTGTACGATTTATCGCCATCTAGTGGTGCACTAAATTAATTACAAATGACAGACTGGTGCCTCTGCTGTTAGCGTGTGAGACCTACTAAAGCCAGGCATACACTATACGATTATTTGCCTTTTTCGGGCTGATTCTCCAGTCGTGCAAGAATTTTTCGATTGGTGTAGTATACAGGGGGTAACAAGGGGCGACCATCCTCTCACGACCACCTTCCGATCAGGAATCGTAACGTTGGAGAAAATCAAACATGTTTGAAATTAGGTCAGGCGTTGTAAGATTGCATCAGAGCATCGGGCCGCACAGTGTCACAACATGCATTGTGAGCTGTGAACTTTTAAACCCTGAGGTTTCGTCGTACAGTTTGAGCTGTAGCTGCGTGCAACAATTGAAAATATCCCACAGTGTTTGTCCGGCTAAAGGAAGCTGCAGAGTGACATCTACACACAGCAGCTAATAACTGTTGCATCCGAGCTCATCCAATGGCGGCTAACTAACTAGCCGTCTCTGCCTTGTTTCTAACATATAAATTCACTATTATATTGAATAACCTAACCTGTCCTGAAGAAAGCCTGCAACATTAGCGTCCTTTTGGAGTGCATTCCCTCAAAAATTGTCTCCACCTGGAAAAATCTGCACGAACGTTGTTTTGTTCCTGGTTATTATGTATTTTTACCTTTTTTTTTTTATGTGTTTCTTTTGCCTCTCAATCAACATAAATTGCAGATGTTCCTTCATTGCAATTGAAAGTTTAGGATAGAATGATGTAGTTGTTTTTGCTTGTTTTTAACTCAACTGAACAACACATTTCCAGACACAGGCAGACAACTTTGTCCTCTTTCTGCTTCGCTAATCAAAAAAGCCAACACCACATGGCATCTCCCATTGGGTGGACCACCCCCTATGTATTTAGAAACTACTAGTTCTAAGCTAAGAGAATGCTCTAATTTTGTATTTCATGTCATTTGACTCTCACAGAATGTGTATTTGTTAAACCATTACTAGATTTTTGCTAATAAACAGCCAGATTTGTTACAAATTGACCCTTTAAGGAGTGGAGCCACATAAAGTTCATTCTGTATCCTTGTCATCATTAAATAGTGTCAATAATATCAGCTGGACTCTGGATGGATTCACTCTGGCTTGACTTCTCTTGCTAATACCAGTAAGGCTGTCCTTAAGAATGATTAGTGGTGCCTTCCAGTGGACAGTAGCAGCACTACATCACTAAATAGACTCCTAAATCTGACTTTATCAATTAATGGGATGGAAAAAAAGTCAAGCTAATCAACCATTTATCCACAATTATAAGTCAATTATTTGTTGGTTGATTAAGTGTTTACTTTAAAAGTGATATATAGCTCTGATTGTGAAGTGTCTCTGTGGATGTGGATTAACACAGCAATGTTTAAACAGAAGCAAACTGACAGCTAATTTTAAAACTTAATTTTCCTACTGTGCTTTAAACTAAAAGAGAAAATGGCCACTTCTGTTTAGATCTGGGTTCTTTGACAACATCTCTTATGATTGTATTTTTAACAGTTGTTGTGCTATTTGTCTGTATGTTTCTTGTCTTGCATGACTCAGTTTGCTAACCACATGGTTATAGACTGACCACTGCAGTAAATGACCTGTACTTATACTAAAAGGCAAAGGGCAGTGAAGTGCCAAGTACACTGATCTCAATAATAATAATTATTACAGAAGTGATGCAGTTTTAAGGGCAGTGTCCCTGATGAAGGAATAAAATTGTATGACTGCTGTTGTGTATAGACTTTTAAATGTTATGTCTGCCAAAACATGTTTTACTGTTCTTTCATTTCCCTCTCGTGGTGTTGCAAAGAAAGGGGTCCTCTGTGAAACAGGGGATCGGCTTGCACATTCTGAGGCTTAAAGAAAATGGTGAATAGAAAATCTGTGTCTTAACAAACATAAAAAGCAGTTACTGTTATGCATGGATATGCACACAGCTCTGCAGTACTTCTCAGAAGTGGAACGGCAGCAGTGTGTTCATGTATGTGTCAGTAATGTCTTAATAACGTTATAACAGCCTGAGGTTTCAGTTGGCTTTAACCTGGTAGAGCTTTGAATGTGCTGAATGCACTGAGATACAAACATTTAGAACCTAATGTGGAGAACATTTTAAAAGGCTCATTCAATGTCCACATCATATAAATTAATTTAGTTCTTCCATTTTACAGATTAATTAGTTTTCTTTTAATGAGGTCAATAATGGGGGAAAAAAACTTAAAGGTTAAAGCAGTAATGGGAGGAAAATTAAAGAATGATACTTTCTGATTCCTCAATAAAATGACCAAGTTCCCCTGCTAGATTAGATGTTAAAAAAAAAACCCAGAGAAGTTGTGTTTGTTGTTGTTAGCTCGTGTCACGCGCCCTCGGTCTCAGCTTGTTTCGTTCTCGATTCCGGAAACATCTGAACGCCTCGACAAACAGCATGCGCGTTCATGTGCTTTGAAGGTGTGGTTTCGAGGGGTGGTCTGAAGGGAGAGGCATGGTTGTGTATGTTCAAAAATATAGGTTGCTGGATCCGTTTTTCCAAGATCTCATACGGCACCTTTAAGATATAATTAATACAAATTTCGGCCGATGATGTCACCACCTGCCGATTAAACTCCGAATTGAACCAAAGTGATCTCCTTTTTTAGTGCTACGTTTGTGCAGATTTATGCCGTTAAGACTGACATTTGTGCTGCTTTAGCTTTTAAGATACTATCGATTTTAAATTCGTCCGATGACACCACCTTCCTGTCATCCAATTTGAGTCCAATTTAACTTAACACTCTTAACTTATTTTGCAACAAACTAAAGTTATAAAACATTTGTAGACTCACCTTTATCTGTTACCGCCACTGCTGGTGGAACAAAGAACTACAGGATATGCTGCTATACATACCCCCAACTCTTCAACAAGCCCTGGGAAAGACAGGAAGTACTAGGTGTGTAGTTAGAACAAATGTCTGCAAAGGTATCCCCTCGGAAAAGTGAAACCACAAGGGTAAATGGAAACGCTACCTAGGCTTTTAAAAGCCTCTGGCTTTTGAGTGGCAATGGAAAAGAGACTGCAGGCGTTTCTGAGGGATTTGAAATCATTTTGAGAAAGTGGCCTGGTAAGGCCATGTTCACATACACCAAACTGTTTTTGTATGGTCAGAGCAGTAAATAATAAGTTAAATATAACTTTAATATAATGAGGCTGTGATGAGTAATGAGATATGGATCCCAGTGGATCTGGCTACCATCCACTATGAGAAAGGTATGCTAACACTTTGGCTCCAAATGGTGTCAGCAGCTTTTTACCTTTCAGCTCTTAGCCTCATTTAAAGGCTGTGTTGAGGTTTGGGGTTTCATTTATGAGAAATAGATTTGGTTAAAAAAGGCCAGCCGTTATACAGGGTGGCCTTTTCTTGCTGCAAAAGTATTCAAAAGCTCATAACATGAGCCCAGAGGTTATCTTTGAAGTGTATTTTAGATGCAGATGGTAACACAAGATTACTCCCATACATGTTTAAAAATAACAAAAAACTCATTACAGCCTTCTAATAAAGACTAGAAGAAAAAGAACTTATGTTTATCTTAAACATTTCTTCCCAGCAGCCCAGATCAGCTCTGCTGTCACGATAAACTCCCAGTGATCAGAACAGACTGGTTCAGTTCATTTACTATTTATATACGTACTTTTATCGTCTCTTTCTGCAGATGTCAGACATTCCTTCTGCAGGTGCAGAAAGAGTGTCTGTAAATAAAAGAGGTTCAGGCTGTAATTGCAGTAACAAATTGCTTTTACCATGCAGACATGAGTTTTCTGCTTCTATGGTTTTTACAAGAAAGGGCAGTTTGCTGTATGAAAGCGTGACACATTCCTGTTCCCTAAAGCTAGAGCTTTTATCCGCCTGCTCTGGCTTCATAAAACGCATTACAAATGTATGATAAAGTGAAATAACCTCTACTCAGTCCCTTTATGAGAAATACATCAGGGGAGTGTTGGCCCAGCGGTTAGAGCAGTGTGCTTGTGCTCTGAGAAGGTTGCAAGTACCCGGTTCGATCCCCACAGCCTGCATTCTGGGTTCCTGAGCAAGATCCTTAATCCAACACTGCTCCCCTGGAGCCACACAATAGAGGAGAATTGGTTAAATACAGAGAGTGAATTTCCCTATTGTGGGACAATAAAGGGGTTTACATTACATTAATAAAAAACAAAACAACAACTGATTTTTAGCCTTTGGGTCTTCTAATAAGTATGAATTACATTTTGTACCATGGTTTTTGCAATGGACACATATTTTACATTGGAAATTTTGGATAAATAATCCAGAAATGAAACTTCGAAAAGCTTCTTTATTAAAAGAGAGTAAATTAGCTGTTTTCTTTGATTATTTTCATCCATATTCATGAATGTTAACTATTTTTTTTGCAGATTTTACTTTGAAATATACTTTGGATTTCTCGTGTTTTAGATTGAGTTTTACAAATTGCATTCTTTTCTAAAACCGTGGTCTAAAGCAGCAAGAAGAAAGCAATCTAATGTTGTTTTTTTAAAAGTCAAATATTTCTGTAAGCGAGGACAAAAACCTAAAGAGGAGAATGCTTATTTACTTTTGCTGGGAATCTATTTTAGCCGATAACTATTCAAATTCTTCTTTGCTTAGTTGTCTGTAACATGTAGCTAACTCTTAATATTTTATGTAAATTTTATGACAGCTGAGACATGAGGCGCCCAGGTAAACGTCATGTTCTGTTCAGATGGATGCGGATGTATAGAGCTGATGCGTGATGTGCAAATAAGCCCCTGTAAAATCTCCAAGCTTTATCTATGGATTCATACATGGTGTTTTTTCAGCATGAATTAAAGATACAGTTATTCATATACTTCACTGATTGAGGAAGTCTCTTTTTTTTAATCGTTATTCAAGGTAAACAGCAGCCAGATAACAAAGTTGACTTCTGTTGTCAAACCTTAGTGTTAAAGGGCCATTATCTAGCCACTTTTAACAATGTCTCTGCTTTCACACTCTTGAATCAAATATTTAGGTCATTAGCAGGAGTTGGTAGATGTTGTCTTCATGCTGATGGGGTTATTTAACCATTCAATTTAGGTGTGTTTGACCAGAGAGGCCTCTAAAAGGTTTAGAACTGTGTTCATTAAGGGCTGGGGCTGGACAGATCTATATTTAGAGATATAGCATTTAACAGCTAAGGGCCTGATCTACTAACGGTCTGCATGTATAAAAACACATTCAAACTTGATAGCAAGCGCAAAGCTGATCTACTAACCAGTTGCAACCAGAAAAAGTTGGTACAATTAGGGGTGGTAAAAAGCAGTAATTAATTGTTAAAGTCGTAGGGTAGTCATATTTAAATGTCAAATCATTCTGGCTTAAACATGTATATAAATGTACTCTTTATCAGACTATCTTGTCCAAAAATTTAGAAAATTTGTATTTAAAAAAAAAATATTCCTGTCTTAAAATCAGTTTTCTTTTATCTTATGCAGGCCAGTTAGTTATACGTCAACCTGAACCCTAAATTTGGCCAATCATATATCAAGGGTCATCTGTCAATCAATTTTTTTCGGTCATAGTATCTTGATTCATATGTCGCAGCTAATATTTGCAATGGCTGAAATCAGAATTATTTCCTTTCCCATTGAGTTCCGTCCCAGTGTTCACGGGGATGGACGTCTGTGTCTTCAGCAGGCGTAGAGCTAACAGAACTGGCAGCGTTGCGAGGCAAGGGCTCAAACATGTAC